ACAGCCTATTCGTTCAGCAATTTCTTTCTGTGTCTTACCCTCTTGCTTGAGGGTGTCATTGATGGCCTTCTGGACAGCAGTCAGGTCGGCAGTCTTACCCATGATTGCGGTTTCTAAAATAAACTACTACTTACTACTTGTACTACTATTCCTACTTCGCAGTTTTTCACTTATCGCAGGGCTTCAGGGTACGGATCCCCCACAATAAACGAGAGTACTATACTTAGAAATTGAGTCATAATTTCACATTTTTCTTTAAATGTGGTTTTTGTAGCAAGAATAAAGAAATCATATTTTTTAAAGATATTTAAAATATACATTTTATTATATATTAACAATAAAACTATCCTGTTGTCAGAGTGGCATAGTTTTGTTCATGCTGCTGTTGTTCGGTGTATTGTTTTTGTACTATTAGTGTTGAGTGTATTCTTAGTTTAGTGTATTTCTTAGTTCATATCTTAGATCTTATTACTGTTTTTCTTTACAATTTATACTTTTGTTGGATGTAACTAGGACCCTGTGTACACAATTCCGTTCCACGTGTACCACATGTGGTGCGAATGACTATGAAGAAACCTTGACCATGTTGCATCATAAGAAGCTAAGTCTTGTTCAAACTTGGGGACGTCATCTCGGTCCCAACAGTGTGCACAGCTGTAATATTTCTGTGCCATCTTGAAATTATGAAAAGTTAGGCCAGCTTCAAAATGTTAGAGGCTGCAAGGACTTAAAAATTATAGTTTGATATATTCAGGGTAGGAAGATTTTTTTAATGTACTAATACAACAAAAGTTTGTAATAAGCCAACACTTCGTTAGAAATGTCTGAATACAGTACGCTCAGTTTACATCCTCACCCTTGTCAGCTTCTGTTCTGCTTCTTTCTAAATCTTCTCATCTGATTTTAAGTCTGCAGTACTTTTCAAATTTGTTTCCTTTTAATTTATTGCATGCACTTATTGTTTTTAAAGGAATTATGCTCCAGTAAAAATAGGTGTAGCTGTAAGTGTGACTTTAGAATCACTTTAGACATTAGAATTTACTGTTATTGCTTTTAGTTGTTTACTTGACCTGTTATTGTTTACTGTTCTTCTGAAATACTGTGCAACACATCGTTTTACTAAAACCCATCTAAACCTGGCTATCACTCAGTCACTTTTAGATTTTGGGCTACAATTTGTTGAGGTAGCAGCTCCGACCAAGACGTGTGAACAGATCACACAAAATCTTGGTTTAAACTTTGGCACACAAGGTGGCAATAAACAAATGATTAATTCACATTTCATTAATTTGTATTTGTGTGTGTAACTGCAGGGCCAACTGTATGCTGGTTCTGAATTTGGTGTCGTTCAGATACCAGTCAGTAACTGCAGCCGCTACGAGTCCTGTGTGGACTGCATCCTGTCCAGGGATCCTTACTGTGCCTGGGACGTTTCCTCTGCACGCTGCTCCTCTGCCCACAGTCTGTCTCCTGAAGTTGCGATGCAAAGCCTGAAGGAGGGAAATGTGTCGCTGTGTCCTCCACCAGGTGATTTTATTCAGTGTTGCAGAAAGCATCGCAGGGAAGACGTTCTGAATGAGTCCCAGCAGGTTTATCAGTGTGCCGTTGTGTAACCTTGTGTTTGTGTGTATTTATAGATCCAGGAGCAGTTGTCAACTTTGCCCTTGTTCCAGGGAACAACATCCAACTGCCATGCCAGCTTCACTCCAACCTGGCACAGGTCCACTGGAGGTCCTCGGACAGGCCGGTTCATTCTAACAATAAATACTACATCTACAGCGGAGGCCTCCTCATTCTGAACGTAACCAAAGCAGATGCTGGCGTGTACGCCTGCGACTCTGTAGAGCAGATAAACAGCAGAATATACAACCGCACTGTGGTTGTGTATAGTTTAAAGCTCTCCCCTGATAAAGACGTGGTGGTCAGCACAGTGACACAAATCTCCATTCAGACTCTGAACACAGCTGCGACGAGCCCTGGCCTGGAAAGCGAGGAGCCGTTGCTCCCTGAGAACCAAAGCAACACCAGCAGGATGAGCCATCTGGAGACGGCTGTAGCTCTGCTGTCGCTGCTTTGCCTCTCCCTTCTGGGCACCATATTCTGGATCTGGGGTCGACAGCACTGGAAATGTTTTAATTGTACTTTATGCTCCAGGAGCATCAAGGAAAGAAAGCACAACCAGAACAGAACTTCAGATAGAAAACTGCTGGGGTCCGAGTCAGGGAGACCCTGCAGTAATAATAATAATCACTGCGCTGTTGACTTCAAAAGGAACGGAGAGTACCACTTCCCACCGAAGGCCAACATTTCAAATTTAGATGGTCTGGGATACATACGTGATGAGTCAGAGATTTGACTTCAGTCCCAGGTCTGCATCGGTGCAATAATTACCATCCTTTTAGGTGTACTGCTACTGAAGAATGGTTCTTAAAAACAAGTTTTTACACTATAAAATATATAAAATCCTAAAAGCACTCTTTCCAACACTGTCTAACATTTCCATCCTCCGACCAGGCAGCTGAGATTCTCCAAAAAAAATTAAATTAACTTGTTAAACTGTTTAAACTTTGTTTTTATATTCATATTTTTGTATTATTGTGAATACACTGTATTTAAAAGAAATATTGGGTACAGCCATCTTTTTTGATTATTTATTTGTGGGATTTTATGTCATCTTAAAGTCATTGTGATTCTTGAAAACGATATCGGTAACGTTTTTGACGCCTCGTGTTTCTTTTTGTTGATTCTGTTCATCAGTCTTTGGTTGTCTTAATTCTTCACTGGCTTGTGGTTCTGTTTTATTTCCCTGTAGTTAAGTGTGCATACCTCTGCTCTGTAGCACTGAAACAGGGATGAAGCTAATGTTAAACTTCTATTCTTCATTACTAAAAACTCCTCCAGTGTAGGTTGCATCATTGAAGAGGTAAATCTTGTGACCTGGGCATCTTTTGGTGAAGGTTCAAAGCTTTGATTCATATTTCAAGCGTTCTGTGGTTTTACTATTAAAAAGACAAAAAAAAAAAAAAAAAGTTGGGATTTAAAGGCACAGGTATTTTTCAGCAAATTTACTGAGTGAATAATTTTAGCTCAAACGTTTGGGAAACACTGTCTTGTTTACAATAAAGCAATGGTTTTGAAAAGCCAAGAGTCTGACTTGTATTTGGGTGGCAGAAAGTATTTGTTACTCAACAGTGGATTTTCATGAAAGTCTTGCTGAAAGTGATTTAACAAACTGAGGAGGGAAAAAAATGAAAAGTTTTTGTACTTTTGCCTATTAGCTTTTACACTGCCTGGCCAAAAAAAATAAAGGTCACGCACTAATATTTATTTGGACTGGCTTTAGCTTTGATCACAGCCTGCATTCTCTGTGGCATTGTTTCAATAAGCTTCTGCAATGTCACAAGATCCATTTCCATCCAGTGTTGCATTAATTTTTCACCAAGATCTTGCATTGATGACTACTAGGCATGATGGGTGCATCACTTCACCTGCCTCTCTTCTTACCCTGGTGCGTCCATCACTCTGGAACAGGGTGAATCTGGACAAATCAGACCACATGACCTTCTTCCATTGCTCCAGAGTCCAATCTTTATGCTCCCTAACAAACTGAAGCCTTTTTCCCAGTTAGCCTCACTGATTAGTGGTTTTCTTAAAGCTGCACAGCTGTTCAGTCCCAATTCCTCGAGTTCCCTTCACATTGTTCATGTGGAAATGTTCTTACTTTCACTATTAAACACAGTCCTGAGTGCTACTGTTGTTTCTTTGATTTGATTTCACCAAACGTTTAAGTGATCGCTGATCACGATCATTCAGGATTCTTTTTCCGGCCACGTTTCTTCCTCGAAGACGATGGGTCTATCCTTCTAGTTTTTAATAATGCGTTGACAGTTCTTAACCCAGTTTTAGTAGTTTCTGCAATCTCCTTAGATGTTTTCTCTGCTCGATGCCAGTGATTTGACCCTTCTCAAACAGACCGACATCTTTTCCACGACCACGCCAGAGTGTCTTTCAACATGTTTTTTTAAGAAATGAGAAGCAACTCATTGCACCAGTTGGGGTTAAAAAAAACCCTGTTGCCAGCTGAAAGATAATCACAATAATTATTCAACGAGAGGCTCGTACCTATTTGCTTAGTTAAATCCAGGTGGCAACTTCTTTTTGGCCACGCAGTGTAGCTACAGTTTCTGGCCTGTCTTGGCTAACGTCTTACTACTTTTGTTCTTCCCCTCTTAACTTTAAGCGCTCCGTTTCAGCAACTTCAGTTATTAATACTTATCATCAGCTGTCATTCAGCAGTCTCAGATTTACAGGAGATCCAGTTTAGTTTGTTTCAGTCCATAGAAAGTAAATTTTGGGAACAGAGCTTTTCTTATTGACATCAACTCATATTATGAAACATAAACTAAAGAAGCCAAAACACTTTCCCACAAATTAATACAACTCATCAGATTTAGTTTAGCATAGGTTACTGCTCAAATCAATATTTTCTGCCTTCAATAAATCAGGAAGTTATTTTTATATACCTTTTTTACAGTGTGACAATATCACTTTGTGTCTTTTTGTTATAAATGATGAACTTGACCGTCTAATAAATGTTTTTGGAAAAAGCTTGTAATTGAAAAAGACAGTGAGCCTAGTTCAAAATCATTAAAGTTCTACAAAACACTTAATTATTTAACATGGGGACAATGTCACGAGATGTACATATGAAAGGAATGATGTTTGATTATGTATTAGCTGGAATTAATAATACTAATAAACTACTAAAGGAGCAGAAAAACACACTGCTGCAAATACAAACATTTAAATAATGGAGTAATGAATATTTAAATGTACTTTTATTTCATTTCATATAAGTGTTATGTGACGATCCTTCAAAAAGCCACAAGGTTACAAAGTGCAGGTCTTCATTAGCGTAGCTGCCTTTAATTCTAAGGTCGAGCTGTCTGGACTTAAACTTACACAATGACCAGTTTGTTTTAATCCCATATGAAATAATGTTTTTCCAGAGATTTCTGAACAGACAGCAGCATCTCTTCCTCTGGATGAAACATGCAACAACAAGGGATGGGTCTGCCATTATAACCAGTGTCGGAAGAGTTTGGGAAACCCTCAGAATAAAAACGGAAGAAAATTCTAGACTTTTTTTCTAACAGGAGACAAGACGTCCTGAAAAATACGACATTTGAACCATTTCATTACTAAATAAATATAGAATTGTGTGAATATTTCTAAATCCAACCAAAATGCATAATAAAATAAACATACTGTGAATTAAGGATGTTTGTTTATATATAGACTACTTTAACTTCATCTAAACTTACCAAATACAGAAAATATGAAGTATTATATTTGGCAGCTGACCTTGAAGGGCACTTCTGTAACAAGAAATGATAAATGAATTGGCAAAACCTGAGGCAGGCATGGTTTTTCCATTCCTTTTTGTTGTGTATTAAACACAGTTATACTTCAAGCAAACATTAGCAGGCTATAAATGATCAATTCATACAAAGCTGACACTTGTTGAAACGACAGGAGTCCCAACATTTTACTGCACTTCATCAGCAGCTGCAGGTCCGTTTGTGTCTGCGGTGGCTGGCTGCACGGGAGACGTTTAGTTGAAAATGTGAGCTTGCAGTAATAAAATAAAACCAGTTACTCTGTTAGCAAGCAAAATAAACTGGAGCGACGGTAAACAGCGAAGCCTTGAAACAACTAACAAAATACTGAGGCAGAGAACAATATCTAATTTGGGCGTGACATTCTTCAGTATCGATGAAGTTCAGTGTTTTGGCATCAGTACTCTGTGAACAAATTAAACTGGAGAGTTGCTTCACTGAAACAAACAAGTTTTCCAAAACAAGCAGCTTGTTAGGCCAGAACCTTTTCTACATGCAAACTCTGCAACAAGGCGCACTGCGAGAAATCAGAAGCAAGCATATCAAATATTTAGAGTTCTTCCAGTGCACAGAGAAAACTCCAGACACTGCATCAATGGTGCCGTTTGCAGACCGTCTTCTTCCAAAAGAAAAAAAAATCACATCCAGTTCTTCATCATACTACAATACTTGGCATGCTTTGTCAATTTACACCACGACACACAAACGCCATTCCTTTCTAAAGCTCCGTAAGGCACTCATTCTTCACACAGTAATTAGTATTCACTCAGTTTGACGTCTGCAAAGCACTAAACCTTCCAAAATATATATCTTTTAGCACTTTATCATTTTGATGTAAACAAAGTTGAAGTGGAATGGCTTTAAGAAGCTTTGGTAACTAAACCTTTAGATTTATCTTTTTTTTTTTTTACAGCTACCCCCTTAAAAACAACAACAAAATAAAGTATGTGTGTAATTTTGTAGTTAAAATGTGAAATGTAATAGTGTTTTTTGAAGTGCTCTTTGAAAATGTGGAAATGACCCCAGCATTTGCTTCCCCTCGGCGGTGGTCCGCTCTCATCACCAGTGGCTGTTGTCGGGGTAACTGGGCACAGCGGCAGGGTACTCTGGCAAACTTGGACCTTGGGCCGTTTGAGCCACGGCGTTGAACCCTGCTTCCCTCACCGGGGCGCTCTTCCACAGTCCGGTGCTCCACTCCTCCTGAGCACGCTGCATACTACCGCCGCCGCCTCGGTACAGTCTGTGCACCTGCAACACAAAATGATCACCCCCCCCAACCTGTGACTGACTTTCAGCTACTACCACACCAAATGTACCTCCTGATGTGTAAAACTGGATGAATTACAGCCACTTTTGTGTTTGTAAAGGCCACTTGGCTGTGGTGGCCATTTTAAATTAGTTTTGACTCCAAACGTTAGTCAGTTATTGATGTACTGTACATCCAATGATTACTTCCTGAAAGTTTCATTAAACTCTGTCCAGCGGTTCATGAGATGGTTTGCTGACAAACACACACTCACTAAAAATAAAACTTTACCATCCACCTCCATTGGCTCATGATAAATGTCTTAAGTTTGCAGTAGTCCCTCGTTACATCACAGTTCGACTTTCGTGGACTCGCTCTTTCGCGTTTTTTCAACGATTAGCAACTTTAATATTACTCACGTGATTGGGACGGTACGAGATAAACAGAGAGAAAATAAAACCTCAGACAGGCACCGCCATATTGTAGTTTTCTTTCAATGAGCCTACACTGTAAGGCCAATCAAAAGAACTACACTACCCAGAAGTAAACGGTGCTGTCAAAATGGAGGGAAAGTTTTTGATCCGATCCAAACCTGACTTAAAAGTTTGGTCCTTGTTCATAGTGACTTTGGTGCTCAGTGGATGCAGAGAGCCGATCAGAACCGACAGGGAACTGGACCAGAACTACTTCCAGCCTCAACGGTCAATCTGTGTGCTGCTTGCTGGCACAGGAAGCCTCTCAAAACCATCTTGGTGCTCAACGGCTGCAGAGAGCTGATCAGAACTGGACCAAGACTGGGGAGTACACATTTAAATTTTTACAGTACTGTACAGTATTGTATAGTAACTACTGTTTACTGTATGTATTTTGTTAAAATTAAGCGGGTTTACGAGTTTAGAACGTTGCAAAAGTGTGGGAAGAGTTTATAAAGCCTTAAAATATATAAAAGTACTAATATCAACACAGTAGTCCCTCGCTACATCGCGGTTTGTTCATCGCGAATTCACTCTATTGCGGTTTTTCAAAATAAGATTGGCCATGACACTCAATTGGATAATTGATGGATGAGCCGCATGATAGAAATGGAATTTTTATTTAAATAAAATATTTTTAATGATTTAGCACCTGCTGTACATTTGTGCAGCCCAGAACTGCAGAAAAAGCTTCATCTTACCCTGTTGTGCAACCCACACTGCAGGATAAGCTTCCTGCTGCAGCTGATCAGCTGTTCGCTGTGCAGAGCTGAGAAGTGGGCGTGGCCAAGAGCACTTGCAGGTGGCAAAGAACAGAGGAGGCAGGGAGCTGAAATCATGACATGCTGTGCTCTTTTAGAGCATTTAGAAACATTGTTTAGAATATTGCAAGAGTGTGGGAAGGGTTTAAAATGCCTTGTGTACACACTCAGGGTACGGATCCCACGCAATAAACGAGGGACTACTGTATAGCGTTCCAACTTTGTTGTTTTTCACGGGGGGTCACGTTCCACACACCCCTGCGATAAACGAGGGACTATTGTATCTGTGAATCTAACAAAGTTAAGTCAGGTCCTCTGCACAAATTCTTCTTGTTAAAACATTTAGTCTTTTATCCAAAAGACTTGGTCAGTCTGAGGAGCTGCAATAAACTCAATCTTATAAGTAGCAAGACTAATATTAAGACTGAGTTTACTGCAGCTCCTCAGACTGAGGAAGTTTTCTGGATAAAAGATGAAAGGTTTCAACAAGAAGAAACCATCCAGAGGACCTAACTTAACTTTGTTAAGAGTTTTCTACCTATATTATTGAGCATGAATCAGGATATATCTGTGAATGTTTTCACTACTACATTAAAGTGCGAGCACGTTTCCAGCTTCACGTGTCCACTCACCTTGATGAGAACCAGTGCCATTAAAGCAGTCACCGCGGTGAAGAGCAGAGCTGTGATTAGCATCACTACAGCCGAGGCCACATTGTAGCTGAAAAAGGTCACTGTGGCAATCCAGCCGCTTTGATGAGTTGGTGAGAACGGGATGGAAGCAGTACGAGTTAGTCAAACAGTGCACACGCAATGCATCAAGGTGGATTTAATCCATAAATTAATTAAATGAACTACTAAAGCAGCGAGAACTGAGATGAAGTGACAAACAGCAAACTGGCATTCAAACAACTCATCGTGACACATCCAAAGCACCAGTGAAGTGTGAAATTATCACAAGCTCCGTTCCCTAACAGAGACAATGTCAGAAGAAAAGTCCTTAATGGGTATTAAGAACACAGACGATACGGAGGTGAGAAGGGAGGGTAAAAAACTTTTAAAGGTTAAAGTGACATTAAAAAACACAAATACATGGAAAAATCTTAGTCTGATTACAAATAAATAAATAAATTAATGAAAAGGGATGTGTTTGTGATGGAACCACTACCCTCATCACGTGTCACCAGTGATGCACGCATTTGGGAAAAGGTGCAAACAAATGCGAGTAAAACAACTCTGTTTCTTTCAGACGGAGCCGATTTACATCCCTGCTTCTGTAAAGTCTGGATACTCATGACAATTCAGAGAAAATAAATCAAAGACTGCGATTAGGTCGTTTTTAAAAACTTGAATCTTCAGGCAACCTTTCCCTAAAAATATAAACTCTATAGTTAAAAGCATTATGGAAATAGGATTCATGCCAGGTCTTTATATAAACCGTCATCAGCAGTGATGCAGGTGATGTCCGTTCACTTTGACTTTAGGTCACGCTGCCTCTCAGTCACAATGAGACGGCTTCTTTGTTTTAAATGCAATAGATTAGAGGAATTCTACCACTTCTAACTCTCTAACTCTTGGGGTTTTCTGCTCAACGCTTCTTTAGTTAGAAATTGTTAGTCAAAAAGTTGAGTCTTTCCTGTCTCCCTGATCATTTCTGACACATAAAACTTGCTAAATAAACCCACTTAACTAACATCATACCTCCTGTTTATAATTTGGATGAAATTTTCTCAAGATGACAAGTTGTTTGTTCAGTTATCTTGAGAAAGCACTTGTTTTCGAGGCAAGATAACTGGAGGCCATAAATGATTGGTTCTTATGATGCATTTCAGATTTCGTTTCATACATTAGTACCACTGCAGAAACACATGCAGATGATCCAGATGTACTGCACGGATCAATAATGGATCGAGTCCGCAGCCGCCACGACCCTCCTGTTTTCTGACAAAGTCACCTTTTTGTTAAAATGGGGCGGCTGTGGCTGAGCGGTTAGGGAAGAGTGGTCCTCCAATGTGAGAGTTGGGGGTTCAATTCCACCAGCAGTCACATGCTGAAGTGTCCCTGGGCAAGACACTGAACCCCTCATTGCCTCTGATGTGTGTCCCATCGGTGTATGACTGTGATCTGAAGCACTGATTATTCTTTGTAGAGATCTAGTAGAGTGCTGTATGAACGGGTAAATGAGGACACAGATTGTGTTGTAAAGAGCTTTGAGTATCTTGATCAGATAGAAAGGTGCTATACAAGTACATCCATTTACCATTTAAAATGTCTTCTTGAAATATTTTCTAGTCATTGTAAAAAAACAAGCTTTTCATGTCAAATTAACTCAATATAATACTGCATAATCCCAGAAGACCAAGCGTTTTACTCATATTCTGACATAATTTAACCATTATCACAACAAAATGAGTGCGGTTATAATGAGATAATGTGATTTTGAAATGTTAAAATTATTTGATTCAAAGCTTGTCCTCTCTCAGTTTCTGTACAACCAAAGCCGACCGATATTTAAAAACTAGCTGAAAAGCTCAAGGGTTGCAAAGTTTTTAAACATGTTCTACGGCAATGCTAGTGTCAAACTTTCATGGGCTGTGAGCCGGCTCAGTGTCACGTGATGGAAGTTGTGCTTTGGGGTTACGTAGCATTTATATCTTAGAGTCACGTTACTCTGTGTTTGTAGGAATTCACTGATTAAACGAACAGAAAAATAAAACGGCTACAAACGTTAAATAATTCCCCACCTTTGCATGTTTACATTCAACATTAAGAAGATGATGGCACAACAGACTTGTTGAGTAAACTTCAGCTAAACAACTGAATAGAAGCCGAAACACAGTGTTTTCTAAATGCATTTGTTTTACTGCTGCAATAATTGGTTCTTGACTAATTCCTGATGAAAATCTTGGTTGTTTTTTTTTGCTACCAGCTCATAAAATTACTTGCGACCAACTGATAACAATTGACGGACTTCTTTAAAGCTTCCAACGCTGGTTTGGCTCAAACTCACCTTGTTCCCCAACCTGAGATGCCTAAAGTCTGGATGAGAGACAAGACACACTGAAGGAAGAAGATGAAGAAGAAGGCCATGAAGTTGAAGGAACTATCAGCCCTGTGAAGAACATGGGGAAGAAAAAAAAAGAGAAGAGATTTAGCAAAAGCTAAATGATTGGAAGGTGCTCTGTTTTGGTTGAATTTCACCATCAGTGCCATGTCTGGGTCAAACTAGTGACACACTGTTAAACGTAATGAAGTCAACTAAACAAGCAATGGAAGCTTGAATTGTTCTCTGATAAACAACATGACGCTCCTTTAACACAGAATTATCACTTTAAACCCATCAATAGATCAGATCACATCTCTTGCAAGGGGGGCCTGGGCCTGAAAGCATCATAAACGTACGTTTTTGTACTGCGGTAGGAAACCTGAGTACTCGGAGAAAACTCACACAAGCATAAGAACATGCAAACGCCACATAGAAAGACCCCAAGTTCAAACCAGGGACTGAACCTACGACCTTCTTGCAGTGAGGCCACAGAGCTAACCACTAAGCCGTTGAGCTGCCCAGCATATTTTCTGTTACTAAAATGTATATTGTCAGGGGAATTTTGGTCAAGGTCAAGGATGTTTATCACTAACTAATGTTAACTGCCCATGAACCGTGTGTTTGAGTTAGCAGAGAGATGAATGAGGAGCTGCTTGGATACTGCATGTGCAGCTGGTACTCCAAGGTCGCCTCCGAGTCTGGAGGAGGAGCTGATGAGCGTGTATTATAAAAAACACTTCCTGCACACTGTCCGGTGCAGACCTTTGCGACCGAGGCTTCGATGAGACGTCTGTGTAAGCCTGCGTGAACTCTGCCCTTGAGTAAACTGGGTTAAACAAATCTTCTCCTGCCTTCGTGTGTGACTCTTTTAAGTCAGCAGATAATAAAAGGATATTTTTATCCAACATATAATGTTCCTTTTTTTTTTTTTTCAGTCAACAAATCGCAAAAAACTACCTGTTACAGAAATAAAACATTACAGTATAACAACGACTGGGGATCTTTCTGGGTGGAGTTTGGATGTTCTCTCCGTGCATGTGTGGGTTTTCTCCGGGTACTCCAGTTTCCTCCCACAGACCAAAAACATGCATGTGAGACTGACTGGTAACTCTAAATTGTCTCTAGGTGTGAGTGAGAGAAATGGTTGTTTGTCTCATTTGTCTCCATGCGTCTCTGTGATGGACTGGACCAGTGTCCCCACCCCTCTTGCACAGTGACTGCTGGATATGGGCACCAGTGACCCATAAAGGTCATTATTTTCCATAATGTAATGATAAAAATGAAACTTTCATATATTTCAGATTCATTGCACACCAACTGAAATATTTCAGGTCTTTAATTGTTTTAATACTGATGATTATGGCATACAGCTCATGAAAACCCAAAATGTCTGTCCCAAAAAATTAGCATATCATGAAAAGGTTCTCTAAACAAGCTATTAATCTAACCATCTGAATCAACGACGTAACTCTAAACACCTGCAAAAGATTTCTGAGGCTTTTAAAAACTCCCAGCCTTGTTCATTACTCAAAACCGCAATCATGGGTAAGACTGCCGACCTGACTGCTGTCCAGAAGGCCATCATTGACACCCTCAAGCAAGAGGGTAAGACACAGAAAGAAATTGCTGAACGAATAGGCTGTTCCCAGAGTGCTGTATCAAGGCACCTCAGTGGGAAGTCTGTGGGAAGGGAAAAGTGTGGCAGAAAACGCTGCACAACGAGAAGAGGTGACCGGACCCTGAGGAGGATTGTGGAGAAGGGCCGATTCCAGACCTTGGGGGACCTGCGGAAGCAGTGGACTGAGTCTGGAGTAGAAACATCCAGAGCCACCGTGCACAGGCGTGTGCAGGACATGGGCTACAGGTGCCGCATTCCCCAGGTCAAGCCACTTTTGAACAAGAAACAGCGGCAGAAGCCCCTGACCTGGGCTACAGAGAAGCAGCACTGGACTGTTGCTCAGTGGTCCAAAATACTTTTTTCGGATGAAAGCAAATTTTGCATGTCATTCAGAAATCAAGGTGCCAGAGTCTGGAGGAAGACTGGGGAGAAGGAAATGCCAGAAGTCCAGTGTGAAGCACCCACAGTCAGTGATGGTCTGGGGTGCCATGTCAGCTGCTGGTGTTGGTCCACTGTGTTTTATCAAGGGCAGGGTCAATGCAGCTAGCTATCAGGAGATTCTGGAGCACTTCTGCTGAAAAGCTGTATGGAGATGAAGATTTCATTTTTCAGCACGACCTGACACCTGCTCACAGTGCCAAAACCACTGGTAAATGGTTTACTGACCATGGTATTACTGTGCTCAATTGGCCTGCCAACTCTCCTGACCTGAACCCCATAGAGAACCTGTGGGATATTGTGAAGAGAAAGTTGAGAGACGCAAGACCCAACACTCTGGATGAGCTAAAGGCCGCTATCGAAGCATCCTGGGCCTCCATGACACCTCAGCAGTGCCACAGGCTGATTGCCTCCATGCCACGCCGCATTGAAGCAGTCATTCATGCAAAAGGATTCCTGACCAAGTATTGTGTGCATAACTGAACATGATTATTTGAAGGTTGGCGTTTTTTGTATTAAAAACACTTGTCTTTCATTGGTGGGATGAAATATGCTAATTTTTTGGGACAGGCATTTTGGGTTTTCATGAGCTGTATGTCATAATCATCAGTATTAAAACAATTAAAGACATGAAATATTTCAGTTGGTGTGCAATGAATCTGAAATATATGAAAGTTTCATTTTTATCATTACATTATGGAAAATAATGACCTTTATCACAATATGCTAATTTTTTGAGAAGGACCTGTATGTTCAATTTTTATTGTAACTTTTCAAGCTTCAGTGCCGCTCGAGTGAGCATGTGATATTCTGTCCAACAGACCTTTTTCCATCTAAAGCCAATTTCTCCCAAGGGAGACAAATAAAGGCACCTTGGAGTCTGAATATATTGTATTTGTGAATAAGTTATGAGAGTTCATAAAACTTACTGATATGTAACTCACCTGAAAGCTTTGTAGAGTGGTCTGAACCAACATGCGTAACTACAAGGGCTGAACAGGACGAGCCAGAGCAGGGAGAATCCAAAGTTTATGGCATTTCCACCTCCAGCCCACCATGCAATGCATGAGATCACATTTATGCACAGCGTGCCTGAATACACTGTGGACGAAAGGAGACAAAAGTGTCGAGGAAAGTAAAAGGGAACATAAAGATTGTGAAAATAATAGTTCCTTGGAAAATTTATGCAATGACACTTACTCATCCAAAGCGTGTAAGCTCTGCGCACCAGCTGCTGATGGGGTGCAGGGATTTCTTCTTCGATGTTCTGGTAAAAGCATGGCTTTATTTTAAGGAACTTGGGCAGGGGAGGAAAGTTATTTGAGCGCTCTAAAACAGAAAATAGTGTCACTGGTCTTTGTAAATTACATTTTAGGTTTGAGCTATTTGAAAAATGGAGGGCTAAGTCAGACAAAAGATTTAGGTGACAAACCTGTCATTCTGAAATCCCAGTTCTTCCCTAGAAGTAAAAAAACATTTCAATATTTAAACAAGTTCCAGAAAACTGGGAACACTAACTTTAGTTAAAATTATTACAACACAACAGGAATTCAAAAAAGCGTTTAATACAAAAGAGGAAGCGCAACTGTTACAAATAAAGTCCAGTTGTCCTGGATGACTGACTCTCCACCAGCTGAACAGAAAGTTGTAGATTTCAGGCTAAAATTAAATTAACCGTGTTTCTACATGCCTAACGGTTTTATCCAACTTTCACCAGGTTGTTGAATAATTTTAATGTTCAATAAATAACTTGATGTTTAAAGTTTTTTATGTCAATGTTTGAACGAAAGCTTGCAGTACAAAGTAGATAGCAGAGAAAAGAAGCAATGATGAGCTTACAGTCTTTTTGTAACACGTTATTGTTTTAACTATCTATCTATTAGGCATTTGACATGGAGTGAAACATAAAATGTAACAAATAAATGTCAGCTTTACCAGGTCAACGTTGATATTTTCTCGTTTCCTTCGACAACTGTGCAGGGGGCCTTCAGGATCCGCTATCGCTACCCTCCTCAAACGTACTGCGCCTGCGCAGCACCGCACGGCCTTTGTAGTTCCATAGGTTGTCAATTCCATTCTTTTGTGCGACTTAAGAACTTCATATCCCAGGACACGTGTGGAGCGGTAAACGGAAAGCGCGTGATCACAACGTAATAAAAACCTGTAATGTACATGGACCCCACTATTCAAATGAACTGCATCGCACTTACTCCCCATTTTGTACATAGATTCTTGTAATTTTATAGAAAGAAAATAAATCAAAAATATTTTTTCACTGACACAATAACAGCAGATATAAAAGATCAATATTATTGTATGTCTCAAATTATGTTGTATAAAGAACTTATTGAATTGAAATGATTTTAGGTGTACTTTTTTCTTAGAAAAGTAACGAACAGGACATCCGTATGGTTGTGTTCAACTTAAAAGTCAAACTCCGCATAGACATCCGTCAAAAGGCGTGTCCATTAAAATGACACGAGTAGACTTTGTTTTGTAGTACGGGATGGCCCGTTACTGTGTGGAGAGTGTGCGCACAGAGTATGGTTCCTGAATAAATACGCTGAATTATTAAACCTGACATGTTTTCATTTTCATACAAACAGCTTAAAATAAATATACATAAAATTTGCTCCCACATTCAAACAAACAGCTATGTTGCAAAGAACGCTGGCGCAAACGTGCAGACCGGTAGTGTAAATCGAGCCTTCCCTCGGCGACAAGTCAAGTGTTTTCGTCCAATCAGCGAAGGCTATTGATGGAAGCGAACGAATCCCGCCAATTCCGATTCAGGAGCGCGAGGCAGGCATCTGGGTAAACCGAGGGAGCTCTTCGGGGAATGCGGAAAGAAAATTAGTTATGTTTTATGCGAAATAGAGTAGAATTTCATCTCTTCCCGGTAGAGAAAAACATCCGTTTGGCATTGGGAGGCATATTTTATGTCTTAACGTGATCTCGACGGATGTGTTAAGCTGTTATACCGTCGAGAGAAGTCCTGGGTTGGGATGTTGGCGGCGGAAAACTCATCTGTAGACGGACATTTGTCAGCGTCGACTCCCCGCAGAAGAGGTAAAATAGTCTTGAAAGAGCTAAGCTTGTATAAACAACTTGTCACAATGGTTAAGATGCCTTTATCAAAGAGGCATCATTTTGTTTACAAGATGCATCGAGCGCACTATGAGGAAAAATAACAAGTTAACTTTGTGAATGCTAACATACACACTCGCTAACGATGCTATTGTATCAGTTTACAGTACTGTCTGACAGAATTATCTTAATATATATAGCTAACTTTAATACAAACTATTACCAAACCCTAACTTGAAATCAATAAAAGATAAGGTCAACTGCCACGTTTTGCCATTTCTATGTGGCTAAAGGTTCTTGCTGTTAAATGCTTTGCTAGCTTACGTCCATTTTCTTTCAGACGCGCTGGCTAAGCTAGCTCCAAAAAACAGAAGCTGCTTTTCGAGCTGTCAGCCTGTCGGTCTCCACCTTTACGACTGACATTTTCTTTTTCCTTGGCTGTTGGAATGTCTCATTATGTCGGGGCCATTAGGTACACTTTGTTTTAGTGTTCAGTCGTTCTAAGGGCCGCCATGTTTTGACTGACAGAGCGGCTGCTCGCCCCGCAGACCTGGGCCTGTTGCGGGCTGACACTGCAGAGTTGGCGGGAGAGTGAACGAACGCGGGGCTAGACGGCTTTAGCTTACCGGTGCACCCCCTTGTCCGCTAATGCTACAATGTACATGCTGTAAAACCGACAGTACACGGTTACTTAGCAGAAGTATGTATTCACTGTGTGGATGTGTTGGATATGAATCTGGTGGTCTTTAACTGTTACAGTAAACAATGCATTTTGCCTGGTAGTTTGCACAAATTGGTAAAGTGATTTTTGGGAGTGATTCTCAGCAGAACAAAGGTATTTAATTTTATTAATGCACGTAACATTAATTTGTTTTTTCCTCTCTTCAGGAATGGATTGCAAGTCAAATAATAATGCCAACAGGAAACTAATCCAAGGTAAATACAAGGCCCAAGTTGTTTTGTTGTATTTATTCATACGAGGCCAAAAACAAAAGAAAAGTGCCCGAAATAGATTTTTTTTATTTCCAGTTCAAGAACAAGGAATTGTTTACGCATAAACAATCTCTGGAATTGTTAGCAGTTTTTCAATTGCAATTGTAGATGCATATGAAAGCGCCTGCCGTGTCACATATCCAAAATAAATTGAGATGTAGTTGAGATAATCATCAGATGAAAGGCTTGATGATATAGTAATTTCTACTGAAATATTTGTGGAAATAACGATTGTACAAATTCCATCCATCCATTATCTTTACCCGCTTGTTCCATTTTGGGTCACGGGGGTCGCTGGGGCCCATGTCCAGCAATCACTGTGCGAGGGGCGGGGTACACCCTGGACAGGTCGCAAGTCCATCACAAGGCCACATAGAGACAAATGAGACAAACAACCATTCACTCTCTCATTCACACCTAGGGACAATTTAGAGTTACCAATCAGCCTAACATGCATGTTTTTGGTCTGTGGGAGGAAACCGGAGCAAACCCACGCATGCACGAAGAGAACATGCAAACTCCACCCAGAAAGGCCCCTGGACCGGGGTTTGAACCAAGGACCTGCTCGCTGAGAGTCAGCAGCTCTACCAGTTGCGCCACCGTGCTGCCCCGATTGTACAAATTCAGTTTTTAAAAGTCTATAAGGCACGGCTCAAAGCGAAACAAAATAAGAAATTATTACGCAGTGCAGATAGTTATGTTTGAAGATGTAATCACTGGATAAAGTTTAGTTGGCTGATTACTTGTCCAAAAGCTGTTGTGTGTGGATACCTTATAGTCACAACATTAAGGTGATGCCACTGTTATATTTGCTTCAGTATTTTATCAACAGAGCCTTTATTTTAAAAAAGTAACAGTTTTAGTATTTGTTTCAAAACATTTTAATTATCTGGACTACAATAAAATATTTGATAAGATATAACAATGTTAACAAAGAGGATATGTTTTTTTTTTTTTTTCCCAAACAGCACTTGATTACCTGATACTTATTTCCACACCCTTTTTGTATTAGTCCTTTTTTAACTAATTGTGATTTTGTACAAATTGGCACAACTTATTTACAATTTTAACTTTAATTTAATCCTGCATTTTGTCTGCAGCTTGTCTCCCTTTTAAGCGCCTGAACACTGAACCAAAAGAAAACCAGCCTCCTAAGCGCCCCTGTGCCAATGGCTGCCCTGAAGTCACCAACAGGCAGACTGAGAATGAGTTGTCTCCTCTCTCAGAACGCAGCAGACCACCTCTGGTTAATGGTCGCGGCCCGCTGGATGGCTTCCTGAGACGCAAACACCCAGCATCCTCAGATGCCAACATGATTATTGATCTGACCGAGGACAAGAGTTCATCCCCCGTGAAGTGCCTTGTTTCGCCTCCTCCTACCTCCCCTTGCCCTCCAACTAAAGACAAGCATCACTGCAAAGACAGAACAAGCAATCCTGGGAAATGCATCAGTGTTAATAATGCTGCTAAAACGTGCACTGTAGACTGTGTTATTACTGATGAAGAAGAGAAGGAGAAAGAGAACAATCGCGCACAGTCTGACTCCCAGCTTGACGCAACGCAGGATCATGACAGCGAGTCAGAGGAGCAGAACGAGTCTATAAATGTTTCCAGTTTGGGAAACGGGTCGACACAGTCTCCTTCATCAGTCAGCTCCATGTCTGAAAGCTCACCGGACAAAGCAAAAACTGATGACTCAACACCTATAGTATGTACCAGCATCTGCTTTCACTTTATACTGAATATTTTAGACTTTTATCATTACGAATATATGTTTAGAGTCTCTAACTTGCCTTACGTTTTGCTCTTACTTTTTGTATGTTATCTTTAAGCCTGTTGCAATAAAACAATGAATCAGTTAATTGCACGATAAATGAAAATCATCAACCTCGTTTTCATTTATCAGCTTTATCGTTTCTTCGTGTCTCTCTTTCTACTGAAGACACTGGATGACAAAAAGCTCAACTTCAGTGCTCTTCACTGACCCCTCCATTTCTCTTTAAAATCCATTTTCACCGTCTAAAATCATGCTTTTGGATCATTAAAGCAGCTAAGCTAACAGGCTGACCTCTGGGAAAAACCTCCGTCTTGTCAAAGCTCCACAATTCATGGTTGAAACCTGTGCCTTCATGTAAAAAGTTGTTTTTCTCTGCAAAAAGAAGCTGAGAACTTGTTTACTGATTTTTTAAATTAAAAGCTTTTGTGGCAAATGCTATGCTAAAGAGCTCAAACCACACTGAGCGTCCGCCATTTTGAACGATGGAAAAAAGGAAGGAGTGACAGCCCATGTTGCGTCAAGAGGTCTCCCTCCCATTTTTCTTAGACACTCTGCTCACTCCCTCACTATCCATCCTTTGTTCAAACAGTCTTATACTGTCTTCTTGTGGTCAAAAAAGGTACTACACAAAATAAAATCAACATTTCTTCTTAAATTTGACAATAATTACTAATTATTGTCAATTTTCAAACAATATTATCGTTTATCGCAATAACTTCTGAGACAATTAATCACCCAGCAAAATTTGTTATCGTGACAGGCCTAGTTATCTTTAGTTTTTGCTTTGAAATCTAAAACATTGATTCACCTTAAATAAGTAAGTTGATAAGTCTATAAGCAAAGTATTATAAGTTAGTATATAACTGTTTTAAAGATGGTGTTTTAATATTTTTAAAGACCCGGCTGGTTAACCTCTAGATCATAATGTCTAAAAATGTATTACAGCTTTAGTAAAATCACAATAAATTCTCCATCTTTAAAACATTACGGATAAAATATTTATGCGGCCTGTTTTTTCTCCCTGTCCCATAGGAGGCACAAACCACCCCGAAGATCCCAGCAGAACAGAAAAAACTCAAAAGATGCTCATTGAAGGTGAGGTTTATTTTTTATGTAGTTAACTTTCCACTCTGTTTCAATTTTGTTTCTCTACTTTCAAGTTTTCCAGAATGATTTTGTTACATATCTGGCCCCTTTTTCAAATAATTTAACAATAATACTGACACAACTTTTCTGACTGCAGAGTGTACAAGTACAAGAGGAGAGGCTGCGACTGCGACAGGAGAAAGAACGCCAGAAGGAGGAAGTCAAAGCTGCAAAGCAGAGGCAGAAAGAGGAGGCTCGCAAACTAAAGGAGGAGAAAGAAAGGGAAAAACGAGAAAAAAAGGAGAAGGAAGAGAAGGAAAAGGCTGAAAGGTTAAAAGCAAAAGAGGATCTGCGGAAATCTAAGCTAGAGTGAGCGATGCTGATTTTTCTCTGTTTTTTCCCCTCCATCATAAAACTGTAAAAGGTGTTGATGCTTTTGTGTTTGTGTTTGTTTCAGAGCCAAACTGGAAGAGAAACGTAAGAAGGAGGAGGAGAAAAGAGTAAAGGATGAGGAAAAACGTTTGAAAGAAGAGAAGGATGTGGGTTTTTGTTTTTATATAAGCCGTATGTCTGTGCTAAATCTTTTAGTTTAATTTCACAGAACATTTCAAACTGTTTTATTTTGTTTACAGCGTCTGAAAGCTGAGAAAGCAGAAATTACACGGTTTCTCCAGAAATCAAAAATCCAACAGACGCCAAAGGTCAGAGGATCTCCATTTTTATTTAATTTTAACTGTATGTTTTTTTTACCTTTTAGTTGACTTTGTAAGCTTCGTTAATTTTAACAGCTTTTTGTTTTATTCCTTTATCAACACAGACACTTGCAGCAGCGTGTGGAAAGTTTGCTCCATTCGAGATTAAAGAGAACATGTCACTGGCACCGCTGACTCGGGTCCAATGTGAGGAGTCGGTTCTGGAAAAACTGGATCTGTGTTTGTTACAGCCAGCCGAAAATTCAAATGGACTTTCAGATTGGATCAAACAAAAACCCAGACGATCAGGACCCATCAGAACCAGACAGGCGCGCTCTCTCAGGTGAGACTAAAAGTACAGTCCACAACCCCACCTACTGTGTGGTTCCTTAATGAAATTTTAGATACGTTTATTTAAATGTTTTCAACATGTGTTTCAAAAACAATACACTGTAAATAACACTATGGCTGGAAGAGAAGGCTCAAAGGAAAATGTTTCTCTGGGAACAGTATGACACTATAGAGCAAACTGGAAATGAGGTGCCCACTTCCTGGTTGTGTTGAACTTGTATACGCTGCAGGAGAGACTTGGGGTGCAAAATGTACTCATAGTAAATTAACATGAAGTCTCTCTTTCTGATCGGAGTGCAAAATACTTTGGAGTATTAGGCAGTGTAAAGTTATCCAGCTCACTACAGATGTTTGACATAAAAAGCTGTTTTTATGCTTATAGAGGTTCACTCATAATATCAAGCATATTATCAAAATATGAGTTAAAACTCGTTACATGTTATTTGAAGTTCACTCCTGAAAAATCCTTCTTTTAGGCTCAAATTGTCTTCCTCTTAAACTAAGATATAATTATAGGATGTTCACCTAAATATTAGAGCCAAATAAATAATACATTTCACAACAAAAGTGAAAGATCTGCTAAAAGTTTTGGTAGTTGCAGTTTTTGTGTATTACAGACTGAAGGTTATTAGACTGTGTTCAGATTATATAGTTTCACAGTTTTTTCTGACAACTGATTTTTGACATTTTTGATACAGTAATTAATATTTCCTTCCACAATCTTCCTTCAGTTGTGCATCTTCCACACTGGAGATCACAACTAATGACATGACAGTGCATTATATTTTCTAGTTGTGAAGTTAGTAGTGTTTTGCCCAGTGCAAATTTAGATATTAATCTCATCATGGGAACATACAATGATGGCAACACATAGCACAAAAAATAAAACGACTTTAAAGTAGTCTGCATGCACCCTCTTTTGAATATATTGTGCAATTGCGCCTGTGGCAAGAAAAGACATGGCTTGTTCCCAATATCGGCTCATAATTTATCACCAATACTGATATGTCCCCAAAATGCCCATATTTTCTATGCTGATGACACAGTTGTTTATTGTTGAGATAAAATAGTTGAAAAGGCTTTCCAGCTTTGGCAATCTGCATTTAACATCATCCAGACAGATTTGTTCCACATCAAACTTGTCCTAAATGCCAACAAAACCAAAGGGATGCTTTTTTTTTTTCAAATAGGAAGTTGGTCCCAGCAGTTCTTCCTCTGATTTTATCCTCAAATGGTGTCCCCATTGAGTTTGTTGATTCCTATAAATATTTGGGTATCTTGGTCGACTCACATCTCTCTTTTAAGCTCCATGTGGAAAACTTGGTAAAGAAACTGAAAGTTAAACTGGGTTTCTTCTTCAGAAACAGATCCTGTCTAACCCTGAATGCTAGGCGCCTTATATCTGTGACTTTCCTTCCCTCCATTGACTACGGTGACATTATTTACATGAACACTCCTACAAGAATCACTTTAAATCACTTCTTGGTCTGTTACCTTCATACATCTCCTCCTACATGTCTCTGTGTGAGTGCAGCTACAGCGTGCGCTCTCAGGACATCATTACCTGCAGTGTTCCCTCAGTGAGGACTGAACTAGGCAAAAGGGCCTTCTCCTACTCCGCTCCTGTTTCCTGGAATATCTTAGAAAAAGATTTGAAGCTCTCGACCTTGACCTCTCTAAGTGGCTTTAAGAATCTGTTGGACTCCTGGCAGGGACCAATGCAGACATGTTTCTGTTTTTAGTTTTCTACATTCACCTTATAATCTAGCTGTTTTTGTTACTCTTTTTGACATCTTATTTGTAAAAAAAAAAAAAATCTGTATGCCATTTTATAACTATTTATTGTTGTTGCTGTTGTCCATTGTTTTCATCATTCTTTGTTGAAATCAGGTCTCTTGTAACTGAGTCCTCGAGGCTCAATGGGATTTGCCTGTATAAATAAAGGTTGAATGAATTGGCCTCACTGATATATCGGTCAGGCTCTAGAGTAAACTGTGTTCCACCCTCTAAACCAGGGGTAGTCAATTACAACTCACTGAGGTCCAGATACTAAAATGTCCTCCTAGTTAAACGTCCGAACGAAAGTTCAACATTTGACTTTTATGGTCTTGCCTACTCATATTCACATTTTCACCGTTAACAACCTGCACTTTAAACAACAAGCTCTTTTACCATATTTAAAAATTGTCCCATTCAAATAAATGTAGGGCCTTTATTTCAGATTAAAACAGAAAGCTCAGAATAAAATACATCTTAAATGTGCAAACGGAGCCTAATAAGCCTTTTATCTTTTAAATTGAAGACTTACACTTAAAATAAAAGCGTTTATATATTTAGAAAACAGAAAACAATAAAAAAATAGCTCTTTTAGTATAAAAATGTGTAAACAGAGCAAGTAAACAGGTTTTTTTGTTTTTTGTTTTTTTGCTTAAAGATGCACCAACCTATAAAATTTTTAGTTTTCAAGTAAAACACGTCGTTATCTTCAGAAAACAAAACATTAAAACATCACTTTTAGGAAATAACTGAAAACAAAATTTAACAACACATTTTCTCTTGATTATTCTTAATTTTACTTTTCTTAATGAAAGAAATGGACATGGGACTGTCCTGCCAGTAACATAAGTCTTGGTTGGAGTCTGAGCCGTTCTCATGTAGGAAGCTGAGCATCATCAGTGACATCTCACACATCGATGGCCAAAGAGATGCATGGTCAACTCTGAACAGCTGCATCCAGCTGTGCCAGAACATCATCTGCTAATATTTCAGATTTTTCTGATTGTTGTTGAAGCTGACATCGGGATTTGTTTGATTTATTTTTTTGTTTGTTTGTTTTCCATCTAATGTATCTTTATAAATCTGACTTTGCTTAAATTTGTTTTGTGCACTTTTTTAAATTTTGTTTGTCGAAGCACTTTGTGATTTTTTTTTTTCTTGAGAAGCGCTATATAAATAAAGCTTTACTTACTTTGTCTCAGCAACAGCATTTAAGCACTCCTTCAGGACTGTCCCGTCACTAAATGTTTTTTATGTTGCCACAACAATCCACGACACCTTGAGTGAACGTTCAGCAGCTGCTGGGCTGTAAAAGTATTTGTGAAGAGGTGGATATGTCATACTGGGCTTCCAGTTCGGTTAATTTACTGCTCTCTGCTCAGACTTCAGCAGGTAACGTTGCTCAAAAGAGACTAAGAGCGCTTCACGTTGCCACTTTTAATAAATGCAACCGTTTCGGAGCATATGAGGCAAACAGGTTTTGAACTGCCTGCTGGAAGAACCAACGTTTGTCTGTTCGTTCTTTCAGCAGTTTTCAGCATCAACTTTTCTTATTTTGTAGCATGACATGACATCTCTTCCTCTCTGCTCCGAGAGCTCGCTGCACCTGGGAAAACTAAATATTTGATTGGCTCATTAACTGAGTGACGTTACTACCGTAACACCTGAAGTAGAGTGAACCTCCAAAACACGTCTCTGCGCCTTAGCTATCTCGCTGGAAAAATGCTCCATGAAAGTTCTCTATTTTTGTGAATCAATCAGATTGGGCGCGGGTCAGAACCATTACTGGGTCTGGATCCGGACTGAGGTCCGTCTACTGGCCTCTGCTCTAAACGCTCAGGGTAACGCATGTCGGAATCGCATTTTTTTCCATGGCTAACGTTTTACCGTTTTTCTCTGATAATTTTTCATGAAATCCCTTTGACTGCAAAACGTTCGTAATGCAAAACCTCAGCAATGTTCTCAGAGGAAAAGGGAGTAAAGTTCTTGCATGTAGGGGGCGTTTCAATTTGGCACAAATTGCAAGCGCCGATTGGTCATTTGCTGACGAGCCTACTGGATTGATTGACAGGTGGCATCATGTCACTTGGTGCAGTGATTTTTTTAAATACAAAGAAAACAGTAGTCCCTCACTACTTCACGGTTTGTTTATCTTGGACTCGCTTTGTCTCAGATTTTCAAAATAAGATTGGACATGACACACAATTGGCTGATTGATGGATGAGCTGCACGATTGGCATGGAATTTTTTATTTAATATGAATTATTTTAAATTATTTAGCACCTGCTGCAGCTTTGTGCAGCCCACACTGCAGGGTAAACTTCCTGCTGCAGCTGATCAGCTGATCTCCGAGCGTAGAAGTGGGCGTGGCCAAGAGCACTTGCAGGTGGCTGAGAGCAGAGGAGACGGAGCTGTATATTGCAATAGTGTGGGAAGCATTTAACTACTTTCTACTTGCACTACTATTCCTACTTCGTGGTTTTTCACTCATCGTGGGGCTTCAGGGTACGGATCCCCTGCAATAAATAAGGGACTACTGTATTTTCTCTTTTCTCTTGACAAAATGTACACTCAGAAAACAATTTTTTTTTTACCAGTTGTTATGCTTGAATTGATGCTCTGAAGTTTAGGACTGTTTGGCTCTATAATTGTCTCACTCTGTTTCTACAGGGACTGTGTAATAGTTGAAGAGTCAAAACCAGAAAACATACCAGACCAAAAATGCTACGGTGCGATGAAGCTGCTGCAGTTCCATGAAAACTACCGTCCAGCATACTGGGGCACCTGGAGTAAAAAAAGTTCACATATCTCACCTCGGTGCCCCTTCAGACAAGACATGGTAAAACCATTTTTAAAGACAACATGTTTCATAATGGATTATAAGATTGATTTACAATTTTAGTGTGAATATAGATTTCTTAATATTATTTTTATGCTAGTCTTCTGATACCTGTATTAATGCTATATTTGCTGCTGTTTCTGGTTAATTGTGAGTAAATCACTTTGTGTAAATTAAAGCTTGTTAGCTGTGAAAGGAACACCTGTTTTCTGTCACCACAGGATATATTTGACTATGAGGTCGACAGTGATGAAGAGTGGGAGGAAGATGAACCAGGAGAGTCTTTGTCTCATAGTGAAGGAGTGAGTATAGTATTATTAGAGAAGGGTGGGGAGTAGCTTTGTGTTTGAACTTAAAAAAAGATTAACATTTACTTTATTAAAGTTGCGTGTGTTGTGTTATTGTAGGAACAACCGGCTTCAAAAAGTCAGGGAAGTTTTTCTGTTGAATTCACAAAACTGTGATGGCCACTGTTAACGTCCGCTT